AAAATCGAGGTGAACCTTAATGCAGATTACGAGAAAGGTCGTCAAGAGTTACCTGAGCGGGTTAGTGCTGCGGTTGATGCGGGTTGGGTGGCAGCAGAATCATCTCAAGCTTGTGGAAGTAAGCGTAAAATTGAAGATACTACTTCAAAGGGTAAGAAGAAGGCGAAGTTGTGGATTGACGCTGAGTTGTCAGATTGCTCGTCATTAAGTGAAGATGATGAAGAGGAGACGAAGATGAGCCCTGAGCAGACGGTGTCTACTGACAGTGGGAATGAATCTGACAGAGCTTCCGAAGCGAGCAGTAAAGTTTAGCAGTGTAAAAAATTTGGACTCTCAAGCTTTTTTAAACTTTAACCTTCCAAAGTTGTAATCAAAATTTGTATAATCTTTTAATTAAACAAACTACTATATTTATAGAATGTGTAGAGTTGTGATTCTATTACTTATATGTAAATTTGTGTTATGTTAATGTTTTAAAATTAATGCTACTCCTTATTTAGTTTTTTATCTGCATTATTCTATTTTATGTCTTGTATTTTAATGGAAACTGTGTCTTAAATTATGATGTAATTTTTATGTTAATTAGAAATAGGTATGATTAGTAATAAAATTAATTTAGGTTTACTGCTTTTTTATTTAATTCCTCCCTAAAAATGCAGTCTGCAAATAAATTAGTGTATTCTTTTAAATCCAACATTCAAATTAAACTTTTCTTTTAAGAAATGTTTAATAATTGTCTCTACATATCAGTTTCCTCATAGCATACGAATGGTACAAGAATTAGGACAATTTGCTCGGAGTTTCTTATTTTGATAAGTTTTCTAATTACAGCGCCATCTATTGATACATTTTGTTATTTTTTCCAGAAACACTTTTTGGTAGTTTTCCTTATGCTGTCTCTGCTAGCGTTAGCCATTGCAAGACCTCAGGAGTTTGACGATGAGGACCACGATGAAGACCATTCAATAGGAGAAAAAAAAGGTATCATCAAAGTAAAGGAATAGTGTGGTCTTAAACATTACAAGGAAAACAAAAGAATATAATTGAATTGACTTTAACAATTACTAATCGATAAATGATTATGCAATTTTAACGAGTTTCATCAGTTTGTTCTTAATTTTTCCAGATGACGTGTCCCGAGTTCAAATCAAGGTTTACCGAGGTCCAACAAAACACGACGGTTACGCACCGTGGGGCTTTTGGGTCAAACAGCCCTCTGATGACCAATAAATATGAAAAAGTAGTTATATTTTACTGTTATCATTAGTTTATGTCAGGATGTATAGATGGCGCTATTATTAATAAAACCAAAGACTATTCCTAAATTTGTTTTTTTTCTTCTTTTTAGTTATGGGTCGTTATTATTTTGAACATTAGGTACTAATTATGCTTATTATGTTTTTGAAAATTCTACACTTCGAGTGGGAAAATGACTTATATAAATAAGTTGATTACTTAGATAGATGTACATGTTATTGCACTTTAAAACAAAAGTTTGTAGTAAATAAACTAATTATTTATTAAGCCTATTAACTAGTAGGCTCTAAACATAGCCTAGTCGATTGAATTGCAGTAAATATTTAGTTATAAGAAACCAAATGATGGACCAATATCTTTGACTTATTTTTTGCATAAATGGAACAAGAACGGAAACTCAAGTGTCTTGTGAATCAAGCATTAAAAGTTGTTGAATTGAATAAAAGTATAGAATCGATGTTCTCAAAACAATTCGCTTTATCTACAAACATTGTCCAACAGCGCTAAAATGCAGCATTTCCCTACATCATTGTACAACAGAAAAAAAACCTCCAAGTTCTTTTAACTCTTCGGTTCTTATGTTTAAGACTTTAGGGATTTGTTCCCCAGTTCTATGATAATAGGTTAGGATTTAAAGTTAAAGTGATACGTATAGAAGATCGTGTAACTTCTCTCATCGTAGTTCTACCATTTTTTATATTTTTATTCTTGTTTTGTCAATGAGAATATGAGAAAACAAAATATATTCTTTGACTTCTGGAGATAGACGTCACATTGGAAGTGAGCAATGCAGCATTTTAACGCTCTTTGGTTAAAAATTCGATCTTTCAATATCGTTTCATGACCAAATAAGATTCGTTCATTTTGACGAATAGTTGAGCGCTGTTTTAATTATATTTCATGCATTTTAAAAATATAAATAAATGTATATTTAATTTACCAGTTTTAGAATATATAAATATGTTTTATTGATATGATTATGATGAAATAGTCGTATTTTGTGAATTTTATGAAAATTATAAACACATTTTTGACTTAATCATTTTTTTTTGACAATTTGTCACATTTGACAAATATTTATGTTTATGTTATGATATTTTTGAAATGTTTTACTGGGTTTTTATAATAAACGTAAGTGCATTTTGTTAAACTAAACTAATATTAAATAGAAAATCGAAAGTGTAAAAATATAAATATAAAAGTGAGGTGTAGTGAAGTGAAGTGAGGAACAAATAAAATATAAAAATGTGGATGTCGGCCAATCACACGGCGTTGTGTTGGGCGCCAAAAATACTGATCATAAAAATGGGTACGTTTTTTTCCAGTGAAATATATGCACTGTATAGAAATTAGAAACTTTGCTTGGTCATAATTAGACAGTGGCGCTCAAAAGAAGCGTTCAACGGGCATGTGATCACAAACTGCTGCCAGTGAGTCTATTCAATCTATGCCTGGCGTGCACCACTTTCCAACTGTCCTCGCCAAGTGTACACTAGGCATTATTCTTGCATCTTTAGTAAATTAGTGTGCTTTTTGATAAAAATGAATCTTCTCGATCCTTTTGCTGTGACAGTAAATAGACCTTTACTTATGACGTCATGATTCCTTTTAAGTTATTTTGTAAGCTATTGTTTGTTTAGTACGTCGTAAGAGTTTGGTACTGGCTGCGTTATTGATGGTTTCTGTGCTGGCGGCGCTGCCGGCGGGCTGGTGGCTGGCGCGCGCCGTCAGCCGCGGCCTCATGCTGCCAGCTCCCCCGCCGCGGGACCTCACGCATTACATGAAGACGAAGAGTCTCCGAGACTACTTGATGGATATGTGGGTTTATTTAAAAGTAAAAAAATACTTTGTAGTATAGTGCATAGAACAATATTTAATGGTGATGAATGTGTGTTAGAGTTTGTAGCCTAAACGACTGAACGGATCTCAATGAAATTCGGCATAGATGTAGAGGATAGTGACATCTAGGCTATTTACTTTAGTTTTTTATTTCCACGCGGACGGAGTCGCAGGTGAAAGCTAGTAAAATTGTAATCTGTAACCTTTGTTAGTAACATTATAAGGCTAATGAATCGAACGATGTAGTTTTAAATTCTGTATACTTAGCTGTGTACAGTTTCAGAAATTTGTATATGCCTTCGTTGTCAAAGATATCCATGCCCGTATGCATACGTATTTTTGAAATCTAGTTTTGTAAATGTATACATACATGCATAGTAATACATTTGATGTCTTGAAAAATTTTGAGTTGTAAAAAGCCTGCGATATTAAACCAGTATAACCTGTCATGTATGTCGCAACGCAAACAGTGATCTTCTACTCGAGCCTTCGAGGACGTCGTGTGACACGATGTCCAACATCCCGGTGC